CATGCCCTGAGACATTTAAAAAACAAGGAGATGGATTAAGAGTTGGAAAGGTTTGTTGCCTATTGAAACCAGCATGCCTGTACTGGGTGCTCTCCATTCAGTTTACATTTCTAAGGAACGTGGAACAAAAGAAAGAGATGAAAATCAAGGATAAATAAATTTAAGAGGGTGTGATGAAAATAATGCCAAGAAGGTTTATACCCCAAATGAGCCTGAAACTTGAAAAAAAAACCTGCTAAAGATGACATAAATTTTTTTTAGATATAGGTTTAGAACAAGAAGATCATGGATAGGATAGATGTACAACTCATGCAATGCTACTGGATAACCGAGATCAGGGAGGCCTTCTCAATGACTCACTTTCGTTGTGGAAAAGAATGATCAGAGACCGAAAAGGGTAAAGTAAACATCTGTAACCATAAATTGAAGCCTAAGATAGTCAAAGCATTCATAAGAAGGCACTCAACTGTTCCAAATGAATTAAAATTCTGCCCCAGAGTGGTGACAAGTCTCACAGATTTCATAGTTGTTAGTTTCAGGACCGTGGTGTGATGATATGTGTCAGAGGACTGGAGACAGCATACTGGTTTTGGTTTTTAAAAGGAACAGGAAGTCCATGGGATCCTTAGACTAGATCAAGGGATATTATGTTGACTGAGTACACAATTCTAGAACATGTTATTAAAAGGATGATTTGTAAGCACTTTTAAAAAAAGATAGTAACCATGAGAAGGCAGCACAAATTCTCTAAGAACCAGTCATGTTAAACAAATCTCATTTCACCTATTTTTACATGGCTATTGGATTGGCAGATCAGTAAAAATGTAGGCATACTGTATCTGGGTATCAGCAAGGCATTTGACAAGGTCTCTCATGATATGCCTGTAAACAAGATGGAGAAATGTGGGTGGTATTCTAGTAAAAGAATGTTGCCTGATGGACAAGTGTCAACCCACAGGAAGGATTCCAGTGGCGTGCTACAGAGCTCCAACCTTGATCTTATCCTAAATAGCATTTTTATTAATGACTTACAAATAATAATAAAAAAAAAGAAATGAGGAGAGCATACCTAACAAAAGTACAGATGACACAGTTATGGGAGCAATACAATGCAAATACTTTGTATAGCAGAATTTGAATTCAACTACATCTCCACAGGCTAACAAGGTAAAATCAAATTAAGCCAAATCAAGGCTCTAAACATATTTCCACCTGTACCCCCCATCCCAAACACAGAGTTAAAAACCTCCAACTATAGGGGCGCCTGGGTGGCTCAGTCAGTTAAGCGTCTGCCTTCGGCTCAGGTCATGATCCTGGAGTCCCGGGATCGAGCCCCGTGACAGGCTCCCTGCTCAGTGGAGAGTGTGCTTCTCCCTCTGCCCCTCACCAAGCTTGTTGCTCTCTCCCTCTCATTCTCTCTGTCAAATAAATAACAAAAATCTCCAACTATATAATTTTAGAATAAAAGAAAGGTGGCTTAGCCTCAGAACTTGTTAAGAAGTTTTAAGAGTTCAGTTACTAAGTGTTCTCAATGTATATCAGTAGTGTTATGTAGCCACCAAAAAAGCTTATATTGGAGTAGGCAGCATTAATGGAAATATTTAGTCAGAACAAAGGAGACAGGGGCGACTGGGTGGCTCAGTTGGTTAAGCATCTGCCTTCCACTCAGGTCATGATCCCAGGGATCGAGCCCTGCATTGGGCTCCCTGTTCATTGGGGAGCCTGCTTGTCCCTCTCCCTCTGCCCCCACCTCCCTGCTTGTGCTCTCTCTCTCTCTCTCACAAATAAATAAATAAATAAAATCTTTAAAAAAAAGAACAAAGGAGACAACCATTTGTCAGTCATAGCACAAATTTTGGAATAAGTCAATCATGGTGATTGCTGAGAGTTCCATCTAAGGTACATCAGCTCTGTTCCCAACCCTTGCTCAAGGGGCAGCCATAGGTGGCCACGCTGTAGGCTTGTTTTTTTTTTTTTTTTTTAATCATATGGCCCTTTCTCTCCCCCTGGCCTTACCTGACTGAGAGAATACAGTTGTCTCCCCTTATCTGAGGGGGACACATTCCAAAATCCCCAGTGGATACCTGAAACCAGGAATAGTACTAAACGTTATATATACTATGTTTTCCTATACATCCCTATGATAAAGTTTAATTTATACATCAGGCACAGTACGAGACTAACAACAATAACTGATTGTAAAATAGAACAATTATAACAACATATTATAATGAATGTTACGTGAATGTGGTCTCTTTCTCAAGATACCTGACTGTACTCACCCTTCTTCTTGTGATGATGGGGGATGATAAAATGCCTATCTGATGAGATAAAGTGGGGGAATGACCTAGGCCTTGTGACACAGCATCAGGCTACTACTGACCTTCTGACAATAAGTCAGAAGGACGATCATCTATTTCTAGACTACAGTTGACAGTGGGTAATTGAAACTACAGAAAGCAAAACCGCCAATAAGGCGGCGGGGGGACTACTTTATCTTGAAAAGATGTTCTCAATTATTTGAGGCAACCTGAATGAACTCTGCTCCCTGTGACCAGGGAGCCTAATAAAAACCCCACCTGCATTCAGCCTTGGCTAAGACACTTCAAGAGCAGTGCAGGCAGCAGTTTAGAACTGTGTTCTAAAGAAAGAGACCAGGATGGAGGATTTGAAACCAGCTGATGTGAGGAAATGGGGAAGGAACTGGGGAAACATGCAGGTCAAAGAAGAACAGGATCAGGAAGAGTGAAGGGCTGTCAGGTGTGTGAGGGATTTTATTTATTCTGTGAGATCACAGAAGCAGATCTGGGAGAAATGGGCAGAGTTAAGAGGTAAGAGATTTGGGTTCAATAAGAATCCTCTGGTAGTTGCTTGAGATGGAATAGAATGCCTTTGGGATAAATCAATCACCTATTTTGGAGCTATTTAAGCAGAGGCAGGTGACCACTTAGTAAGGATAATAGTATTTTTTTAAATTTTTATTTTTTATAGCAGCATTACCTTTGAGTTGTATAACGCTTTGCAATGTACGAGGCACTTTCTGCCACACTACCTCGATCATCTGTACAACATGTTGAGACAGGCATTTCCACATTCATTTTTACAGATGAGGAAGCTGAGGCTCATGACGATGTGCCAGGACGCCCCCAGAGTTACCTTTTACTGACTACATGTGAATCAAACATTTCAAAGGATATATATTTGGGAAATCCTAGCTCATCAAGCTGATAGGGTTTCTAGGTTTTTAAAAAATTCATCTTTGTGATACTGAATATATTCCCAAACGTACTAAAAAGGTACTCTCTGCACAATCTCACATGAAAACTTATGTTCTTCTCTGCGTCTTATGAAGCTGAGACCAATTAATACATTCCTTGCATGGATACAGAAGGTCCGTGGGTGCAGTTTGTACAAACACGCTTAGATGTACACTTCAAATAAGAATAGTTTTCTCTTTCCTTTTGCCTGAGCCCCATTCCCCACCCTCCTTCCAGATTTCCTGTTATTGGGCTTCTTAGAGGGAAGGAGTGTGTTTTGCTTGTCATGATCACTAGATAACCAGATTGCCCCACTGTTTCCTTAGCTATCACCAAGCGCCACAAAAGAATTAAAAGAGTGAGTAAATAAATTTTTTTTGAGTAAATAAATTTTAAAAAGGAGTAAATCACCAACATTCGCAAAAACTCCTTAAAGATACACATTGTTCTCTGCTTCTCTCACCTCATTCACCTCCCTCTTTCGTTAAAAAAAAAAAAAAAAAGAAACGATACACAAACACTATCACTCGTACACTTCTAATTGGGTTATCTTCACCATCAGAACGGACTGCTATATTTTCTCTTGGGAGATAACAGAAATATCAGTTTATGAATCTATTTAATCTAGTAGTGATGGATGATATAGAGTTTCCTGGATTTGAGCCATAATGCTCTCAGTTTGTTGGTGGTGACATATACACTGATGCCATGCCTGGCATATAACTTAATCTGCTATGAAAAAAAAACAAACAAACAAGCAGTCTTATAATGTGGGTTTATTAGTCCTCCCCTTTCCATTCCAATTCCCAGATATTGGGATGGAAATTGATCAGAGTTGACAGCACACATTGCTTATCAAGTGATATATTATACCCATTGTTTACATACAAATGTGTTCAGAAAAAGCTTTGGTAGTAGATCTAAATAAGGCAAGGGGAAGTCCTTGAACTTAAAAGATAACAAAATCATATGTTTTATTAGGTAATGTCTATGTTAATAGGAAGTTGTAATTTTTAATTTAAGAGGGAGTGTCTAGAAATGATGAATAATTTCTCATTTAATCGCCTCTAGTGCTAAAGTCTATTATGACCCGGAGACCTAGAACTATAACTTTAATCCCATGACGAAGATTTAAAGAGTGAATCTCAAAACCTTAATATGTGAAGTGCCAGAAAATAGAGGCAAACTTTTTTGTCAAAAGACCAAACAGCACCCTACAGGCAGAATCGAGTTTTTAAAAGTACACACGGACCTCCGATCTATGAAGCGAATCCTTTTTAAAAATGTTTGAAGGCAACTTACTTTTTGAAAGAATCTTACAATAAAATCCAAATTGTCACTGTTCCTCCAATTGTGTTTGGATTTTCCTGTAATGTTGCAGTTTCCTAAAACAAGGGGCGAGTGCCTTTTACACGGAGGACACATTGATAGTTTAGATAATTGCTTCGTTTCATATGCTTTGGGGGGTGACTGCCTGTGGGATGTTTATGCACCTGTGGTTTCATCTTTCCACGTGAATCTGCTTTGGTCTGTGTCGGTGAGTGTGCCCGAGTCTAGATGTGTGCGCCTGTGTGCGCTCCTGTGCCCGCAGAGGGTTCTGCCTTCTGCCCAGGCATCTGGGTGTGCATCTCCGTGTGCATTCGTGTGTCTCTGCAGATGTCTACGGTGAAATGAGTTTCTGCACTCGGTGGAATCATCCTCTGCCAATATTTAAGTTATTGGGATCAATAATAGCTCAAGTACCTGGTCTCCAATGGTATGTTGCTATTCAAGACCCAGCTGTTATGCAGATGAACCGAGTCCTGTGTACTGGTTGGGGGAGCTGGAGCAGCTGGGCTGGGCTGGCTGCGGGTAGTCATTGATCTCTGAAGAGAGTCGGCTGCAGGGGGTGGTTTCCTGGCACAGGTGCACGCATGCGGAGGCGGCGGCGGCGGCGGGAGGGGTCTGAAGGTGAACTGGTTGTGTGGGCTGCTCTGCATGTCTAAAGAGGAGAGAAGAAAAACACCAAATAGAGACTTACTCTCCCACTTGGCAGTCAGGAAAACACAGCTTGTCAGACTGAGGATTTCAGAAGAATATAACCTGTGGGGTGGGGGCAGAGCTTTAAGTTCAGTCTATCTGTAAAAATGTCACTTAACTTACAAAAACACGTGCAGCACGCTTACGAAATGTAAAACATTCACAGTTGCGGGGCGCCTGGGTGGCTCAGCCGTTAAGCGTCTGCCTGCGGCTCAGGTCATGATCCCGGGGTCCTGGGATCGAGCCCCACATAGGGCTCCCTGCTCAGCGGGGAGCCTGCTTCTCCCTATCTCACTCCCCCTGCTTGTGTTCCCTCTCTCGCTGTGTCTCTCTCTGTCAAATAAATAAATAAAATCTTAAAAAAAAAAAATTCACAGTTGCATTTACATGTAAATTCTTCAGGGCTATAGCAGCTAAAAAGTAAATGAGGCTGCCTCACACAATTTGTCATAGTTTCTGCTACCGAACAAATAAATCATCAACAAGACACTAAGTTACAGAACAGAAGTGAGCAGATTTCCATCAGTTGCAAAAGTCTCACTTCGGAAAATACCAGTGAAAGGCACAAATTTGTTGCAAGAAAAATCATTCGACACTTCAAATAAAAGTTTAAGGCCACCTTCTGGCTTACCTCAGGAAAGGATGCTAGCCTGCCTACACAGGAGCAAATCCATACTCCAGAAAAACAGCTCCCTGAGTATGGAACTCAACTGCACGAAACTCATCTCTTTGCCAGCACCGCTCCCCCCCTGCCCCCAAATAAGAGTGCTGCTTGGAAAAGGAGTTTGTTCAGGTTATTATATATATTTCCATGGCCATGCAACACACAGTCTGCGCCCCTCCCCCACCCGCCACACCTTTCTAGGAGCTCTACCATATTAGCCGCAGCTTTGGTGGAAGGGAAACCCTTTTTTTCTCTGCCTGTTTGCAGTGGGGGCAGCCTGGGACAGCGGTCCTCAGACTTCTGTTGTCGCTATTGTTTGGTATTTTCCCACTGTTTTCCTGGCAGGCACATGTATAGACAGAGAGTTAGAATTTGGCCCACGAGAAATGCCCCAATTAAACCCCTTTGAAAAGGAATCACTATTGTAGCTGATAGCCACCTCTCTTCCACAGGAGAAACATAATAGATGTCAAGTGATCTCTTGTAACACCAGCACGTTCTGGATAAACTTTGTAGACAGCATGGCTTTGTCCCACCTCCCAAATGACTGAGAGTTAAAAAGCAGAAAAATGCCAGAGGCTTTCCATGCCTAGCAAAAGGGCTCAGCTGGTTTGTGCTGAGACTCACTTTACAGTGGCTGATCACATGGAAAAAAATAACTTCTTTCCATCCCTCTACCTCCAACTTGAATTTCGAAGACACTGGCATGGTTTTCATATTTTAAAATGATACCGGTGCCCCAAGAGCATGACAAATTCTTGGCTATGTTTTCTCCTATAGATGGCTCTCCCTTTAAATAAACTTGCTATATGAAAAAGGAAGTTGTACAAAAGATAGATAGGGAAAGGAGTAGTGATAATTCATTTTGATACAAAATATTCCTTTAGATAATCAGCTACCCTTGGTTATTTAAAAGGAACTAAAATGCTTCATGAATTTTCAAAATCAACCCATTATTCCAGGCCCAGCCCAAATCCCATATCCACTAAAAATATCATCACAAGCACTTAACATCTCATTAATTTTTTTAAACCTCAGGGCTCATATTCATAACCATAACTAGAAGCATGCTTTCCATCTTTGGACTCAGAAAAGCACTGAATGCTGGAACCCAAAAGACCGTGAAAATCCTTTCATTTTGCAGATGAGAAAACTGATGTCCAGAGAACAGTTTGTCCAGGGACACTGGGCATGGCCCAAACTAGAACCCACATCTCCTGACTCTCTGGCCAATGCTCCACTCACTACATTGTAGACCTTTGTAATACAAGCTCTCTTTACCTCCTTAAGATTTAGAGACACAGAACCCTCCACATCTTCTGGATTTTTCACTTATGACATACCACCTTCCATTGTGGTTATTTGTTTATATGTCTGCTTCCCTCCTTAGATCTTATCTCCTTAAGCATCGAAAAGGAAGGTGGTTTGGTGTAATAGTATGCAGTGCAGCATCGTGGAAAGAGCATAGAATTTGGGGGTAACGGCAAACCTGGGTTTGGATTCTGCCTCTCCTCATTTGTAAAATGGAGATAATAATCCTTTCTCTTAGCAATTAAATTTAATTCATATAAAATGTGCTTGGACATAGTATGTCAGTGACTACGCATTTATTAAATGCAGTAGAAGGATGAAACTTTCAGACTGGAAATGACCATAGGGATCACCTAGTTCAGCTCTCCTTCCTCCCCTCTCCATTTTACAGATGAGGAACCCAAGGCTCAGAGAGGTAAAGTGACTTGTTCAAAGTCATTCAACTTGTATGAATTTGTCTGCTTATGTCTGATGATTCCCACCCAGCCCAGCACTTTTTTTTCCATATGCTATTTTGGAAAATAAATATGACTGTCTTCTCTGACTTTACCATTTACTATTTTTATCATAACTTTGGCCCCTGAGTTTGCAATATTATTCTCTTGTTATCCCATGTTTTTGTCTTATCTACCAAAATGGACTGCATATTTCTTAGAGCAAGATCATCTTCTACTTTTCTTGCATGTCACATGAGCACAGTGCTAGGTACAGAGTAAAATCCCTAAGAGCTTTTATTTCACTGCCCCATCGGACCTAGAGAACCACTCTCAGCATCCCCTGGGCTCTTTCATTCTGATGTGGTCACTGGGTATCTATTTGACAGTTCACAAAGCAGTAGGTTTCCCCCTTGGAGGTCCTAGTGAAATCTCTCCCACAGCCATGGGGAAGGACAATGATACCCCAAAAAGGTGCTTAAAATCACGTCCCTCTAAGACATGAAAAGAGCAGCAGTGACACACTCTACAGACTTGCCATCTAAATCCATGAACTTAATGATGCAAGCAAGGGAAACAAAGGGTGGGAGTCCAGAGTTAGAAGAAGAAAAAGAATCTAGTTTAGGTGTTGTGTCCAGAACACCTCCAAATGACACGTGACATCTATTAGCTTAATCAGTAGGTGTTTGTGTCAGTATAGTTGTTCAAAAGACAGAAAGTCTCTATTCAGTACAATTGTTCAAAAGAAGAATCACTCATTATCATCTGGATTTATTGCTTGCTGGATTTCCTCAAAATTTTTGCAACTTCCTTATTATGAAACATGATAAAAATTCTACTTCATTGAAAAGTACAATCATGGTATTATTGTAACATTATATCACTTCTGCTGCAGGTAGAACTGCTCTGTATAGTTATTGTGATTATATGTGTATGTGTGTTTTATTGATTTATATCTATTTTATTGTATATTTTTATTTCCACATTTTAAATATGCCAGGTTTCCCTACTTGTTAATATTGTCTTTAAAAGCTTTTATAATATTGGATTGTTGAATTGAGTGGAATACATCCAGACCTTAAACCCTTATGAAATGCAAATGATCTCAGCTTCATTCTTTTTTTCACCTCAGGAAAAAGATGTGGAATGCACTTGTTCTCTTCCAGATGAAGTAATTTAATCCTTGGGCTCCATGAAATGGGATTTCCCAACATTAAACACTAATGAAAAATACATTAGGGTTCAGTGTCAGTAGCTCTAGAACACCAGTTCCAAGGGGTGAAGAGTCACATGCATTCACTTCCAAATGTATCTGGCAGCCACGCATTTTCTGTGCCCAAGAGAGAGACGCAAGGGAAGGGGGGGGGGTGTAGTGATTATGCAAATGTGGATATCTGGACATACTTATAAAGTTTTATGAAAGTAAATTAAGATTTCAGATGGAAGGTCTAATTCACATAATATACTTGGGTAGGATCCAGTTTCAGGTTTGAGGTCCTAAAGTAACTTGGACAGGGGAGGAAAATTCCTCCAAATTGTATATCTAAAGCATTTTAGGCATGGCAGAACTGTTAACAGAGGTATATGCCTTCAGAAACAACATTGCCATTGTCTCCAAAATGGAAGCGGGAAAAGAAAGTGGTCATGCCTAGTTGGGTTTTTTGTTTTGTCTTTTTTTAGCTCGAGAAACTTTTCACCAGAAATTAGAATACCTCTACTCAGAAACACTGTGTGGGAACTTATTGAAGGGTCCATTAGGGTGTTGTGCCCCTTATGCTTCATTAACACAGTCCATTGGGCTATAAGGCGACAGTTGCATTTCTAACATTCACTGCCCTATGCAAAATCACGCACTGGAAAAGGACTTATGGGGAAAGGGGGTTTGGGGCACAAGACCTGAAGTTTGCTTGTGCAAGTGAGTGTCAGATGGGTCGCAACTTATGAGTTACTGTGGAGTGATGGAACGAGGGTTTTCCGAGTCACACAGAAAGATCTAACCCCAGATGTGGATGGGCAAGGTTCCTAACACAGGGCGGTGAACTAAGACAGCTGGTGGATGTTTCAGGTATATGCACATGTGTATTTTGTATATTCCTACATGGTTCATTCTGCTGGGTGCAGTTTTCTGCCTTCCCCTAGTATTTTTAACAGATGGAATCACATGTATGCAGACATGAAATTTGTCTTATGTTCAAACTGTTCTCAAAGATACCAAAAGCACGAGAACAAATTAATGTTTTCAAAACAAGCGTTGTAGCAGAACTGACTGTACATGCAAAATAATTTTTCTGTTAAGTGTTAAAAATACTGTCATTAATACAGCAATGCTAATGGATAATTCTTTTCTGAAAAATGTGACCAAAGTAGACACATGCCTAGTTTTCCCCAGATCCGTGTACTTAACCAATCAAACTTTTCTGTACTGATACTAGGACAATAACCTCCAAAATCTGTTTTTTTCCCCAAAGTTACTATGTAGTGTATGTTAACAAGAGGAGCACCTATATTCTCAGAGCTGTAGAAAAAGGTCACAGGGAGTCAAAAAACATGTCT